ACACCACTATCGGCCTGAGTTACGAACGCCTTTTCGAACTCAGGCCCAGACACAGTCGCCGACGGCCTGTTTTTCGTGCCTTTACGAACTTAAAACATGCCGAGCCCGCCGTTGTTTCAAGAAAGAAATATGAGAGCACTCCGAAGGAAGGAGTAAGTCATACAATCATATAGGAAATCGAAAATTACAAAAGGCAAAGATGGGGGAAGATGAAACCAAAATTATCAGAAGGCAAGGAGAGAAGTTCACACACCCCACAGTGCCCCTCGCGCTCTCACCACTTTCCCATCCTCCTCCTTACTCCGATGCAAGCAGTCTGTGGCCTCACACCTACCCAGAAACCAGAGTTGTCATCCCGCTTAGCCCGGGTACACATGTCGGGTTCGCCAGTGCCCCGCTGTCCGTCGCGGCCACACGTCAACCCCTCACACTCACCACCAGCTCGTCGGATCGCCCAGCCCCGAACTCACCTCCATGCATGCCCACGCTCGTTAGCTGATCCTCTTGACCGCGCTAACTCCACATGTTTAGATTAGAGAGCGATTTAGTCGCGCTTCCGAAATTTACATCAATCAGCATTTTCGTGAAATAGCCGAAATTACGCTAAGGCAGGGGGAGAGGAAGGAAGAAGCTGCCTACGGTCGAGAGCTTGGGCTGTGACGCAGAGGACTTAGCCACTCTCCATGCATCGGTCGCGGCCCGCGTTCGTACCCGCGACGACCACGGCCACTGGGGATACATAGGATCTACGATATCGGGCCAAGGCCTGGTGTCTCTTGCCGCGATATTACGTTGTAATGCAGTCTTAATTACCCGGTTCGCATTTTCGACCAGTCCGTTCGATTGTGATATATGAGGAGCAGTATTGCGAACGGAGACACCGTGTAGGACTACGTTCCTCGGGACTTCCCCTCTAAATTATGCCCCATTGTCCGTTAGGATCTCCTCTATGTCCTAGTGCATCCTGAGAAAGCGGTTCACATATCGCGCGATTTCTGTCAGTCGCATCTTACAGGGATACGCCTCAATCCATTTTGAATAATGATCTACAAATACCGAAAGGATTGAATATTCGCGGCCATTCGGTCCAGGGGGCACGACAATATCGGTGGTATCCATACTGACCCTCAGGAACGGCCGTTCGACTATGGTGGGGCTAGGTGGGCACTATTAACCTAGGCGGTTGAATTAGCGCCTTGTCGACGGCACAGACCTTACAGTTCCTGACGATGAACTTAACATCGTCACGAATATTGGACCAATACCATTCATTCTTATCAATCGCCGCCTCAGTGATCCGGACGGTGAAGTGAGCCGCGGTTTCCTCATGGGCTGACTTAACCCAGTCATACCTCATGAACGGATGAGGTATGGACATCCAGATCCCACTACCATTCGTCTTTCGCTTTTCTAACCGTCCTTCGTTCCATCGGTAGTCTCGTGCCCTCTCGTTGGCCCGTCTCTGATCATCCTTAGTGAATTCTTGGAGGGGGTTCCCAACCACCGTAGCTATCAAAACAACATCTGTCAACACCTTGGCCCTTCTAAACGGTCAGCTTTTTTCTCCAATCCTTCAAACGTGGCTTCGAGAAACCGAGCCTCCATCGGAATTTTATCGATTCGACACAAGGGATATAACCTGGACTTGCCCGTATTCCTGTACTGAATACAGGAGCCGTGGGCCCTGGAGACACATTGTCGACAATTCACCCATTCGACATACCCTTCCCCACTAGGACGTATAGGGACCGAGAAGACACGCGAGATGGCCTCGCAAAAATAGCAAAACTTGTCGGGTAAGGAGAGAAAAGACGAAGATGAGAGGGGAAAAAGAGGGCTAACAGAATAACCTCCATCGCCCATCGCCACAGTGCCTTTGTGTTACCTCTTGGTGCGTGGAAGGACTGCCACCTGTCCGTACCGTGGGCCACAGGCTGGTTGCGGCTCCTTCCACGGAGTGATCTCTTCGCCCTTGGCCACCTTGTTAGGCCGGTGCAATCGTGTCAGTCCGTCAGCGTTACCATGCTTCTCCGTCTTCCGGTGGACGATGTCGAAATCGTATTCTTGTAGTCGTACATCCCAACGTCCAATCATGCCCGTGTAGTTAGTAAGCCTCTTGAGAGCCAGCAGGGGCTCATGGTCCGTGATGAGGAGGAACTTTTGTCCGTACAAATACGGATGGAAGTGTCGAATTCCCCAGACAACCTCGTAGCATTCTCCTTAAGGAGCCGAATCGTTCTTCCTTTCGTCAGGCACCAATCGCGAGGCGTACTCGATGACGTGTTCACGGCCGTCTTTCCCCTTCTGAGCCAAAATAGCTGAGATTGCTTCAGGACGCCAATATGTAATGAGTATGAACTGCTTCTCAGTGTCAGGCCGGATCAAAATAGGCGTTGTAGCCAAAGCCTCCTTTAGAGTGACAAAGGCCTATTCACATTCCGCGTCTCAGCTCAGTGGCTGGTCCTTCTGTAAAGGGTTCGTTAGAGCTCGTATGATTCTCGCGAAACCCTTGATAAATCGGCGGTAATACGAGGCCAATCCCCAAAAGGCCCGGACTTGTGTCAACGATGTGGACGTGAGGGCATCTTGAACGGCCGCGACTTTTCTCGAATCCGGCCTGAGCCGTCCTTGGGTCACCACGTACCCTAGAAACGAGATCTCCGAGAGGTGAAACTCGATTTTCTCTAGTGCAATCTTGAAGCCAGCATCCTGCAACACCCCAAGAGTCCATTCGATGTGTTGTGAGTGTCCGTGAAACGATTATGAATAGACCAAGATGTCGTCCATGTACACAATGACGCAAAAGTTGATCATCCCCTGAGCCAGCTTTGTCTTGTTGACAAAATTCTGAAACGTGACATTCATTGCTCTCTGGAAAGTAGCCAGCGCATTGCAAATTCCCATCGAGCAACGAACCCTCTACCAGGTGCCTTCGAATAACACAAAGACCGTCTTTGGCCGATCTTCCTCCTTAACCAAGATGTGATGAAATCTGTGGCGAATATCAAACTTACTAAAATAATTAGCACACCCAATCGCATCCAACAGATCATCAATCCGGGGAAGGGGGTACACATCTTTGATGTTGATATCGGTACTTTTCTGTAATCAATGCAAATGCGAATCGAGCCGTTCTTTTTCGGTACTAAAACTACAGGAAACGACCATGGTCTAGTTGCTGGTTTGATTCACCTATTAGCCTTGAATTCTTTGATTTATTGTAATGCTACTTTTCGTTCTGCGAGAGAATATCGATACAGTTTGCAGCGGATCGGCGGGTGCATTCCGGTCTGAATTTCGTGCTAAATGATCAAGGAAAGTCCGATATCCGTATCCGTTATGCTAATCGCCCCTTGGTATTCGGTCAGAATATCCGCAATCAATTGATGGGTTTCATTGGGTACACACTGAGGCACATGCAGCTCGTATGACTATCCGTGTATGGTAACTGTTACATGCTTCGTACCAGCTCTATTGTTGCTCTCCACTAGGGGAGCAGAGATAAAGGGGTTGTCCGGCCTCCAGGAAAACACGGTGGCGACCATTTGAGCATCTTCCTCTTGTATGGCCAAGTGTTCTTTCGGGTTACACCATCGTTGATGTCTTGCTAGGACACTGGTTTCTCAGGGATTTTGATTCCGAGCTCATAGGATGTAAGATCGCCACTTGCAGGGGGTTCCAAAGTTTCGCTTTCGACCCTCAATCGCAGCAATCGGACTTCTTTTTCTGTAGAGAGCAGTGAACGGGGTAATATTACAAAATGCCTTCTTGTCTCTGTATCGTGTAAGAAGCGGGGAGATGGCCTCGTACAATGTACGAGGGGGTTTCGAAGACTCGGTCATCCGCGATATTTGCACGAGTGGTTCTCCTAGGATTCGAGCTCGAGTGCATTACAAATTTCTTTCTGTAAGTACGAACGTTTTCGCAGTCTTCTGTCGGATTGGGTAACGAATCAGTTGTTGAGCCAGATCCTGTATTACCGGATCGGCTTTGTCTTTGCTGTCAGAGTCGCTCGGTAGTTCGGGTTTCTTTCCTCTGTTGTCCGTTTTTTCGGCGGGCTTCTTCCAAGTGATCACTCGGAGAACTTCTTCGGGTGCTGGGGGAGTTTTCCGCGTTGCGGGTACCATAGTTCAGAGAGTCAAGCGCATAGGAATGACATACGGTTTCCCTCCCGTATTTCTAAGTATGATCGATCGTCGTTCGAAGTCCAAATTAGCTCGTAAACCGGTGATAGCCGGTAAACCCAGGAGGACGCCGTACGTGTTTACATCCAGTACTACAACATCGCCCGGAGCGTGAACCTTTCCTAATCGGAAAGCGACGTTAATTATTCTACCCACTGCTTTGATCTTTTCCTCATCCGCAGAGACGAGATGATCTTTGTCTGTTAACATAATCAGATTTTTCCTTCTTCCACGACTCTCAGGGAGATGGCCAAAGTGGCAGCCCCCAAATCAACAATGGCATTGTACGGAATTCCCCATACTTCAATATCACATTCCGCGGATTTCAACGGAATCGCTTTGATGCGCAGGAAGTGATCGTCCTTTTGGATTAGTCCTAATCATATTGGATCAGACGCACTGGGGAAATCTGGCTTTTCATCGGGGGCCGGGGCTTTTCCTTTTGTGGCCGCCAACTTAGTGAGAGCAAATCGTTTCCATTTGCTTTGCAATGTTGCAGCATGCGTTCGTTAGCTTGCTCCGATATAGACAGCAAATGTCTGATTGGTAACAGAATTCGGTGGTCCAAGGCTCGGACAATGTTCAGCACGTCGATTTCTCCAGTGATAAAGGTGGGACCACCTGATTCCATTTCTCCCGGGGAAACTCTCCATTCGGCTACCTCCCGCTGTTCGTTTGTGGGTCGGATAGTTTCGATCATTCCCAATCCCGGATAACTAAGTGTGATATACTGATCAAGTGGGATTAGTTCTGTCGCTTCGTCAGTAGTGGCTACCGCACTTCCTTGTCCTTCCATCTCTTCGATCATCGTGCCTACCCTCCCTAACCCGTTAGCTACAGGCACAGCGGCCACAGGGGCGGCCCCCACTCGGACCTGTGCAGATCGGTGGGGACAGTTTCTAGCTATGTGACCGGGCAGGTGACACGTGTAACAGACACTCAAATTGGTCGTCGCTACGACCATTGCCAGAGCGGGCGCGATCCCCTATGCTACCGGTGCGGCCCTAACAACAATGGGGCGCATCAATCTTATTAATGCTTCCATCCTTACATTGTATTCGCATTGTTCTTTTTTGCTTTCTTGCATTAAGGTAACGAGTGTCCGGGCTAGTTCTAGTATCGCATTTGACTTGCTCAGTTTCGTGGAGGTGTCAGGGGGAGGTGCAAGGGCAACCATTACAGATACAGGCAATCCCGTGGCTGTGTCTACCACGGGTTTCTTAGTTACGGTCTGTTCTAGATAGGTGACGGGACCGGAAACGAAGCCCATGTTTTCAAATTTGTTTTGAAGCGCACCTAACTCATCCTTCGCTCTCACCAGTTCTGAGGAGTCCCCTTCTCTCGGGTAGTCCCCTCCTTCTAAAGAACTAGCGGCAAACTTCCGCTGCATATCTTCCGCAGCGGACATGATCTGCTACAGGGTGTGATTGATTGGGGAGAACTGCTTTCACAACTTCGCCCTCATTGTCCGGCTACGAAGCCCATCGATGAATAGATCCCTCCCGATCTCCTTCCCTTGTTCCGTTTTAACAAACATCCTATAGAACCTATTGCGGTACTCAGTGACGGATTCGTGTGGTTTCTGAACTTGATCTTTGATCATGAAAAGAACCTGTTTTGGGTGAATGTAGTCGAATCGGTTTAAGAAATCCCGCGCAAAGTCGGGAGATCCACCCAAACGTAAGTGTTGAACCAGTGGTGCGCATCCCCTTCTAATCTGGCGGGGATGTTGATCCTGGCTTCATCGTTGTCGTACTGTTGGGCGCGCAGAGTGGACAGCCATGCTCCGGCTAGGTGATGCGCGGGATCAAAAAGATAGAGATCAAGCGGAACCGCAGGTGCACGAACTCGTTGTACAGGGTTCAGGCCCGGGTTTGGGGCCTGATTTACGACCTGCATATTGGCGGATTGCCGACCGACCGATCTGCTCCTAGTTACTATAGGATCGCGTCTCGGCACATTCTGCTGTCTAGGCTGCCCTCTGTTCACCAGATCGTTCTGCGCGACTTGCCCTTTTGATAGTCCGCGAGCTCGCCACGTGTCGCTTTAATACCAACCTCACGCCCAGCGCGACTTCCTGATCGGAGTGGGATGGGGGCCTGGAAGTGCGAAAAAGGGGTGTGCCAAGGATTTTAGAATAGTGGGGGGGGGGGGGGGGAATCCCAGGTCGGAACTGAAATCTCCTGTGGCGAGTCTCAGGGATAGTCGTGCAAGATGGTAAGCGCGGGCCGCGCCTAGCTTTTATGCCTAGTGGGATGTCATCACCATCCTCGCGAGTTTCGTTGTCGTGGCTGGTCTCGAATTTGGTGAACCGGCGGAACGCTATGGGTGTCGCGTTGTCTAATTAATCACTGGTGTTGCTCGTGACGGGCCTCATAGTCTAACGAAGCGGGCCTCAGGTCAGCCTCAGTCCGGGTTCGTCAAACGAACCCTATCATGAGGAAGGTCCGTCAAAAAAGGGACCGCCTGATGTCACAGCCCCCGACGCTGCAGTCCCTGCGGCGGGCAGCTGGGCCCCTCAAGCCCCACTCACTGCTGTCTCCGTTCTCCTGTTGGGCACCAAACGAATGGGGGTGGCTGTCACACCCGTTCGCTGGTGTCATTTCTTCCGTGTGCTTCCTTTGCGACGCGTTCGCCATCGCTCGAAGTCGCCAGCATCATTTCGCAGGCCCCTTGCGCATCCTGGCCCTCGTTCTTCTAGCAATCATCGATAGCGGGGGGCGCTAACGAAAACGTCACGCGACTGTAGACCTTGCGCGTCGTCCCGTTGGCGCTGTGCTCTTCTTGTGTTGGCTCGAGGTGTTTGTCGACTCGCAGGTCAGTAAGAAGCCCACGGCCCCTACTCGACCCCTTCACCATTTCAAGCCCCCACCTCTTCCCATTGCCCTTCCGCTCCTTCGACCGTGCAAGTCTTGTTCTCTGCCAGCACCTGCTCCGCCAATCACGCGCGCACGATCTTGAGCGCACGGCGCCCACCGATCACAACGACGGAAGACCCCATGCAGTGACACACGCTGACGTCATCATCTTGCACATGACGTCACCGACGGGCAAGTGCTTGCGGCTCTAACAGTCATCGGCCTCGAGTCTTGGCGTCCTCAACATCGCTTGTTTGCGTCCTCAACATCTCTTGTTGGAGTCCTCACCATCGCTTATTGGCGTCCTCAACATCGCCCTCAAGTCTTGGCGTCCTCAATATCGCCCTCAAGTCTTGGCGCCCTCCGATGACCGCATCTGACGTGTGGAGAAAGTCGCATCGCCCTCGAGTCTTGGCGTCCTCGACATCGCTTGTTGGTACACTTTCTTGGACCCTGGCTCGCGGGTCGTCCTCCCCCAGTCTACTTAGGATATCGCAATGCAGTCGGTCGTGCGAGTATTCTTCTACATCACCGCCTACTCCATCTATCACGCACGAGTCGACATGCGCGCGATCTTGAGTCCACGATGTCCGCAGCTCACAACCACGAAAGTTCCCTTTCACTGACACACGCTGCCGTCACCATCTTGCGCATGACGTCTGGAATT